ATTATTGATTATCGTTCATTGTCAGTTCATTGCCAACAAACTGACTTTGACAGACACTTTTCAGAAACTCCCAATATTCTCTATGGTATCATTTTCCGTTCAACTCATACAGTCGTTATCACTGAAGTCAGCCGGGACCTTTCAGCGTGGTATGGGTTTTGGCGCAGCGCCAGCTCTGTTTTCGCCATTCATTGAACGCCTGGAGCCGCAATGATTGATGGGAAACGACTCGCGCCGCGGCAAGATCCATGACCCGCTGACACCATCCAGAACGACGTGACACGCTGACCAGAGTCACCATTTCAAAGGGAGCCTAACGCTCATAACTGTCTGTTTTTTTTGGGTCAACAAGCAACCATTTCGTGGAGCTTAAGAGACTCACCAATATGTTCACAACAGTGGTCGGATCGAGATCTGCGCCCCATAGGGATAGGAAGCCCGCTGTCCCTACATCCATGGATACAAGACTAAATGTAACCCAGAAAACGATCGACGATTCAGCGACGAAGAGAATACAAACTGAAATACGCATTTATGACATCAGGAGTCCTTGACTTCATAGAGGATTTCCACATTGCTTCGCTTCCAAAAAGACAACCTGCAATCAAAGTGAGTATTGCCGTTCCTAGAGACTGTAATGTAGTCGTCTGCAGCTCCAGCATCTGGAAAATTTCTAAATTATTGCCAGATGAAAGAGAGAGGCTTATGAGAGTTCCACTCTTAGGTTACGTAAAGCTACGCAATGGCATGAGCTCCGGTTATACTATGACCAGAGTCTCAGTCCAATCGTAACAGTCAAAACATACGGCGAGCGGGCTTTTTGGACCAGAGGGGACGTAGGGTAGGTCAGACGAGGCACGTCCTACGCTGGGGAGTCCCCAGACGGGGCAGGGGAGAGGAGGTGGATCGCGTTGCAAAAATTATTTTTCCGTTTGTTGATTTTTTGCGGTTTTCCCGTTTTACTGGCGCTGTACACCCAGGCCTCCCCACTCGACGGCAGAACTTTTCCAGGGAATAACTGGGAAGTTCACGGAGATTTCAGAAAATGGGGTGGGAGACCTGGAGAAATTTGAGGATGGAAAAAAGGGAGGGTGGTTGTGTCCTTCATAAATTTTGCCCAGCAGCAGGACGTGCCCTGGAGTGAGATACTTGTGATGCGTGGAAAGACGTTAGATGCGACCTCATAGTTCTCATAGAACGCATGCATTTAAGAAAATGCAGAGAAGAAGAGAATATAAACGCCGTCAAAGGGATTGAATGGTCCGTAGACTCTTTACCTGGAGCATGCTCAACAGCACTCAGCATTTCTCTTCACGGGCAAGTCACTTAACACATACGCTTCTGCTTTCCAACCTCGCTACCTACGAACTGTTCTACAAGCTTTTTCAAAAACCTACGATCTTTGAGTCAAGAAAACTAATTGACCATTTACGAAACAGGTTAGCTATCCAACGATTAACAGTTCCTACCTGATCGGAGTAGAAGTTGTTATCATCGAAAACGAAGGCTTCAAATTCCGGATAGCGGCTTGTGATATTACGCCACATGAGAAGAAGCTCGGTACGTACATTCCAACTGTCTATCTTGAACGCCGTTGTGAACACAAATTTTTCCACTCGCCTCTCTTTCTGAAATTTCGACTCTGCTTGAAATGGAGTGGAATCACATTAGCCAATGTGAAAAAAGTGATGCTGGTTGGTTGCCGGCCAGGTAATAGCGCGGAGCTGCTAGGAGGCACACAGCTACATCTCATCTGCTGACGGTAGGTAGACTCGTTGCTACGGTCTAACTCCACATTTCCGATTCCTGTCTTACTCTCAGTTCTTGCGCTTCCTTAGCCGCATAAGCCTGTTCCCTATTCGAAGGTAAATCCTGTGATTATCTGAGATGTAGGATCCCCTTTTGCACCAGATGGACTGGTACACTGTCCCAGGGGTTATATCACTTTCGCGGGTCAAACGTGAGTGAAGAGAGCTCTGTCGTTCCCATACGGGAAAGTACGTCACCCGTAGAAAGGTGCCTGACCCTTGTGGGGACCACTTATGCCAGCGGTTCTAATACTAAAGCGCAGGTACGACGTGTTGGGTTCTTTCTGTGTATAACCGACCTTTATGGTGTCGTTCGTCTTTCAGTCCGTTATCCTATTTTCTCCACCTTTGTCTCTGGTCTCTCGCTCCTATAGTGCCTCTAAGCTTTAGCTTTTCCACATACTCGTTCAGTACCCAAAATAATTTGCTCAAAGAGTGGCCCTGTTTTCAACAGCTTCGTATGCTTTTCTTCTTCTCTGCCAAGTTATTATCAACTGTACCCTCATTGAGAGCCAGACCCACACTGTGCCCAAAGTGGATAAACACAGAAATTGTTTTTTTCTCTTAAAGGAACGGTCCGCGATCAAGTATCGAAGATGAAAATATGGCATCGGGAGGATAGTGCGGTCCGCGACGAACAACCCTGTACCGTTTTCGCGGCAAAAAAGTGCAGGGGAGGGGCGCTATAAGGCAAAATAGGTCCAGTGGGTTCCTCCTCGCTTTTTCGCAGTGACTCCGCCTCCAAGCGCCGCGCCCCTCATGAAAGCCAAGTTGTGGGACGAGAAAAGCATGAAAATCTAAGCGGCTTCGTTATTTGTACGGACGTAGGGTTGTATTGAGTCAGCTGAGCGCGCGGAGTGGTAAAACTGGAAATGTACTGCAAAAAGTATTGTATTGCAAAAGTGCACGAAATGTTGGAAGAAAATAGCAACATTTTGAATTTTAAAAGCAAAACACAAACTCAAAAAGAACAAAGAAACATAATAATACGATGAATTCACTAAAAAATAAGAATAAAAGGTCGGCCTTTCATACGTGGCGCCACACCTACTTCTGGCAGCGAGCCATTAACGTGGAACGCTCGTCCATAAGCGCTGTTTCCCCATCGTATGCACGTACAAACTAGGATGCAAGGTTCTAATTTAGGTCATTGGCGAATGTCTTTTTCTAGCTTTTTCCGTTCATTAGGGAGTATTGTTTACTCTAAACCTTTGTCCTTTCTATGCGAAGGCCTAAATTCACATCTAAGATGGCAAATGAGCGGTGTGTCGAGAGCTTGATCATCATTTAAGAAAATACTTAGGTAATAGAGAAAGGAGAGTCAGTAAGTGTCCTCATAAGAATGCTATTTTCGCGTTGATAAAGCAGAAAATCAAGTCACACTCAAGTATTCCTGTACTTGCTGATGAAGTGAACCGTTTTTTAACAAGACTGAACCAGAGGCTTGAAGCGCTGCGCAACGTTCTTCTCATCTGTCTTTCAGCACTGTGAAGAAAGCAAGTAATCCCAGTGTAGGTCCCACAACTCGCTGTTGCTCGAATATTCTTAGTGAATGCATAGTAAACAAAAAAGTCGTTTATAAAACATTGAGATCTTTCAAAAGCTCTACTTCTATTCCTTTCGATGGCATTCCTCAAATTGTGTACAGACACTGCGCCGCCTCTCTATGCACTCCGATCTGTATGATACTCAATGCATCTCTCATGTTCAGTGAAGTACCGCTGAGCTGGAAGGAGTCCATCATTACTGCTATCCCAAAGACACCTGAGCCAAAGCTTGTCTCATCCTTCCGCCCTATTAGCATCACTGCGCCGCCGGCCAAAGCCCTTGAGAAGATATTACGTGGGAGAATCGTAAAGCATTTGACTAAGTACAACCTAATTCCCCCGGAGCAGCACGGATTCATTAGCGGTGCATCCACAAGCACTCTATGCAGACGTATGTTTGAGATTGGAGTCTTGCTATCAACGATGGAAAGGGCGTTGACATAATCTATTTTGATTTGTCCAAAGCTTTTGACAAAGTGAATCATGAAAAACTTCTTCAGAAACTGCGGCATTTAGGGATCGAAGGCTCCATCCTCAGCTGGATCCGTTCCTATCTGGAAGATAGACATATGTGTGTAAGGGTGGGTAACAGTTTCTCGCGGAGGTACCCTTGTAGTAGTGGAGTTCCACAAGGAGGTGTCTTGTCACCTCTGTTGTTTTTGGCCTACACCTACGACCTACCTGCGTACCTCAATACCCACCCACTTGTAAAAACCAAGATGTATGCTGACGACATCAAAATTTACGGTGCTTATGACAATGATAATTATGAATGCGTGCACCAAGCGTTGACTCAATCTGTATGCAACATGATGGAATGGGCTACCGCTTGGGGTATACCTGTAAATTTTACGAAAACATGTGTACTTCATTTGGGAGAAGCCAGGCATGCACCATACACCGTCAACGGTATTTCTCTCAGTACTTCAAATGAAGTTCGAGACCTTGGTTTTCTCATAAATTCTGATCTCGATTTTTCACATCATATTGATGCTGTTGTCAGGAAGGCTTTCGCCGCTCTCTTCGTAATATTCAGAAACATTCGACTAAATGATCCCTCGGTTCTGTTGAAGCTCTATAAAGCATACGTGGTCCCCATACTTGAGTATGGCTCGCAGATATGGAGCCCTCATTCCAAAAAATTTCAGGCAAAAGTTGAGAAGGTCCAGCAAACTTTCACTAGAATTTTAATGTACCGATGTCATCCCAACCCGACATATCCGCGAGGTTTACCCAGCTATAAGGAACGCCTCAAGCTTTTCAACCTTAAGTCATTACTATATAGACGAATGTTCAATGATATTTTGTTCTGCTTTAAGTTACTGAAAGGAGATTTAAGATTGACCCGCCTAGTAACGGATTCTTCAGCGCTTAGACCGTAAGGGGCCGCATTTCTTCACTGTCATTACAATGTCCTAACTTAGGCAGGACTCAGCGATCCAAAGTTTTCAATTCACACTTTTTTCCGTGGAGCAAGGTGGCTCAGTCGCTGCCCGGCAGCTCAGAACTGGGCAGAGGCGTCAAGTACCTTTGTTTTTAAGAGGAAACTTAAGGAAGTTTGAAGCATTCCGACCTGATCTGTGAGGCCATTCAAGCATCTTTTGAAAGTTTAGGGTCTGGACGGTCTCCGCTTGTGAGTATTTGTGTTGCCAAGTTTATTGATGTTCTGGTTATTTTTCTTTGTGTCGATTTGTTTTGTAACTTATCTGTTTTCCCGACACTCATAAATGTAGCGCCGCAACCACGCCGTGTGTGCATGATAAATAATAAATAATAAATAAATAAAGTTCCTTTATCCTCAATTATTTTCTTTCCTCTCACCGGTTGAATTTGTTACACACAGTCTACTAATTTGAGTTCGTTGTTATTGTTAGTCGAGTTCATAACAGCGATGACATCTCATGTATAGTGTCGCCTGTGGTACATAAGAATAAATAAATAAATAATATAACAGGATTTTGATCAAACGGCGCAGGCGTTATCACCTCTTCCAATATTCCCAAAGAATTACGCACAAATCCGGCATTATCCGGCTGCTAAAGGACCCCCAAATTTTCGAGATAGTCAAGTGTGCGAAAGGAGTGCCGTTGAACCAGGTGATCTTGCCAACTGGCTTCAAACTTTGACAATAATTATTCTGCCGGTTAAAAGAATCACAAACCTCGTCCGAGTGGTTTGTCCACTGTATGTCGGACTCCCAATGGTTGTTGAAAGATACCTCCAGAAATGATTTCAATGTTGAGTATAGCCTGAAAAAAATCTTCAAAATGAAGGACTCTTCGTGTTACGCGCAGTTGATATACGCAATATTAACAGTATTGTTTAAGTTTCCAAGCATCTCAAAAAAGACGCTCGAAATAAGCTGCTCGGTGTATGGATGAAAGAGATCCGAGTTGCCCAGGGGACAAAATGCTCGGCAGCCACAAACGAAAACGAAAACCCTGGGCGGCGTTTCCTATTACTGGCTTACTGCAGGCATCTGCGCCGCTTTGAATCATGAAAATAGTTTGTCAACATCGTCAACCAGGCAGGAGCGATGGCGAGCGCCGGACACGCAACACAAATCCTTTCCACCATCTTGGCCGCGCCAAATCGGATCTCTTGGGCTGCGTTGCATACTTTGGCGGCGGCATCCACCAGCGCCACCACCAGCTTTCCGAGCGTTTCAGCGGCGTCAGCGACTAGGAAAGTGTAGATACTGATCTAGCGTCCACCAGCGTCTACCAGTGGCTACGAGCGTCCACCAGCGACCAGCAGCGTCCAGGAGTGGAGTGCATGGCGCGATAGGGGGTTAGAGCAGCAGCTGGTATATAGAGTGGGGAGATATAGAAGAAGCAGCTGTCCGGCTATCTCCATACTCTCGCACTCAAGGACCTGTTGGTCGGCTGGTGACACTGGTCGACGTGCTCCCTGTCTACCGGAAGCGATACTTTCCTTGTCGCTAGGCGGTGCCGGACGCTCGGAACTCTAGCTGGTCGCTGCTGGACGCTGCCGCAAAGAATGAATGCAGGCTTACCTATGCCTTAACGAGTAGCGAGCCATTCCACTCCTGTACGAAAAAAAACCCCAGAACATGCAGAAAATACTTATATTTGATTCTCACCGGTCATTATCTTCTACAAAATACTGCTTGTAACTATTGAAATTCCTTCAACCAGAATGAGGTTGAATTAGAACCCATTGAATATGGTGTACTTTCGAGATCGAGGACAAGATTTAGCATTCGCTCAACCTGCAAAGGAGACCTCCTAGTCGATTATTAGCAACTGACAGCCACAACCTCATTTCATGTTTCTACTGAGAAAAACTGCGAGAGGTGAGAAAAATGAAATAGAAGGCCATATGTTTTACTCTTACTGCACAGCGTTATTTATATCGTAGGGATGAATAACTTTAGGACGTTAGCCATATTTTGCACGCGGAAGTTGCTGATCATTCATACCTCACGAGGATTTTTAATGTCTGGAGCTCTGTTCACGTAGACTCTACCAATAAGACCTTCTGCCCATATTTTGTTTTCTGCCAGGTGTAGATAATGCACTATAGGAGAGTCGTCGACCACCAGACGAGACGGTGTCAAGTTCGGCTCCAACTGCGAACATCCGTAAAATGCCAACAGCACGTACACCCCATAGACGACAATCTAGAACAATGGAAATAGTTCGAAAATACGCTCGAAACGCTAGTGGTGGCTGGTGGAGAAAAGGAGTCATCAGACAAACAGCGTGAAGAAGCGGAAGAAGATAAAAGGATTACACACAAACAGAAGCGTAACTATTGTAAATTGTAAGAGAAGTTGCCACAGTCTGGCTTGGCGGGGAGGCATGGAGGGGGTTGGGCAATCTACACTTGCGCCACTTTCCATAGCCGTGTTGAGGCATCATAGATTACCTGTGACATCTTGTGAAGCCATGACGTGATACGTGGTCAAATTTTAGAGACCACTTGTAAACTTTTGTAAAGAATATCTGTCAAATCTTGTCAAGTAATTCACGACAATGAAAGTAGCGAAAGTGGACGCTTCCTCCCCCCCGCCTGCCTCTCCAAGTCGAACTGCACGGCGCAGAACTTCAATACTATGAACATCGGCACAGTAAGGCTACCCCAGCTATCCTATTCTGAGCCCATGTCTCTACAATTTCGAACGAATCCGAAAATAACTCTTCTATGAGAGAAATTTTTGGCCTGCCTATCCTTCTCCGTGAAGTTGAATATACCCAAGAAATAACTCACAATTATGATCCTGGTCACTGGATTGCAAATGATTGGGGCGAATATGTTACTGAAGAAATGTTTCGATGGTGAAGCTGAGTCCGAAGATTTAGCCTGGAAGGTGTGATTTTTTGGCATCATTTTCTTATTTCAATGGTCCTACATAAAGGATAAAG